AAAATCTACTCTCTTTTCTAAATATAATAAAATGTCTTAAAATCAAATCTAGAAACAAACTCTTTTCTAGCTTTCAAATTATATTTATATTCTTATAGTAAATATTTTTTGACATTTTGCAAGTGATTCCTAAGGAGACGTTATTCTTAGTAATGGATTCTAAACACGTATTTCCAACACATTTTTAGTTTAGTTTTTTTCAAATATTTTTTCTGTTGGAAACAAATACTTATTTTGAAGGAAACATAATTTATTTTAATAATTGATTTACGAATACTTTCTTATATTTATTAGTTTTGAAAAATAGAAATTTAATTAATTTTCATGTTTTTGTCTGATTTGATGGATAGACTGATGAGGAGAAGAAGGAGGGCTTACCAGTAGTGATGCCAACGTTTGATCGGATGACCTGCTCTATACCTAAATCTCAAATAGGTTTCATTGATTACTTCGCCAATGATATGTTTGACGCCTGGGATTGTAAGCTATATTCAGCCCTTATATTCAGTTTCATGTTTCCATTCATCTCTAATCAATGATTTATTTTTTTAATTTTAAAAGCTTTTGGAGATTTTCCGGAAATCACAGATCATTTGAGAGCAAACTATCAGTACTGGAAAGAGTTGACGGAATCCATCACTAAAGACAATCCGAAACCAATTCTTGCTAAAGAAGACCAACAATAGTGACCAAAGGGTTTAATCCAATCCGAGACTAGACTTGAAACACGAAGTCTTAAGACACGAAGACTTAACATATTTAATAATAAGATAATTGATTTCTAGTCCTGTTATACATCTCTATAATCTCATTGAAAGACATTTTGTGCTCACTTTTAATAATAACTAATAAATCTCTTAACGACTAATAATTTTGAAAGGCATCAGTCAATCATTGAATAACTGATTGAATTATATATAATGAGCGTTAGATTTTCATCCCTTATTATCTAGACATATAATGTGATCGAAATTGGAGTTTAAATTAAATATAAATATTATAAGTTAATTGACATTCAATGGATATAATATTTTGAATATACATTTGTTGTGACAATAGTTGACATGTTATAATATAATGAAATGGAAAGCAATTCGCACAACTGAATGGATATATGAATACAAATGAATGGATAATATAGTGGAACTGATAATCCATTAAAAGCAATCTTCCATTTAGTGAGGGGTTAACCGACTAATTAAATCATATTGTTTTGCTTTGTATACAGGGTATCACATAATAGATCCTTAATTTTTATTATTTGTTTTTTAGTTGTTTTTATTTTGCAATCAATTAGAAGAAAACTAATATCTTCTATGAATGGGTAGAAGAGTACAAAATTCAATACATTATGAGATATATGTTTCTGAACCCAACTTCTAGTCTAACATTGTTTCCTTTTAAATGCAATACATTTTTGTATAAATAATTAAACGTTTTAAATATTTAACAAATTTTTAGTATTAAAGTGTTGTTTTTATATTTAGTTTTAACCATTAATTGTTTTTATTTTAATAATTATCATTTTATTTGTAAATAATTTGACGACAAAACCAGATAACTCTTTGAATCGGTATTATATTCAGAGAACTTTTGAATTTTTACTTATTTGTAGAAAAGAGATATAAAAAGATATACTGTAAAAGAGTTTGTTTGTAATTATCATTAAATATATTAATAGCTATTTGTAAAAACTGCCAAATCCTGTATCGTTTCAAATTGATTTCTCACATAATATACCACAAAACACAATAAATATTTAAATATAAATAGTTTTTCTAATGAATGTTTTGTGAACAATTTTTGTTTATCACTTCTGATAATAATTAAAATTTTTATTTTTATTCATTATCTGATAAGTGGTGCGAAATAATTGAGCGCTAATTTAAACGATGAAATCTAATGCTAAATAACATATGAATGAGTGCTGAAAACATTGTTAAGAGTCACGCCATATATAATATATTAAAAATATTTGTTTCCTTAATATTTAATAGATTTATAATGTCATCCGTTTTTTGTCATTAATAGAAACCTTTAAAACTAAGTCTTGTATTAAAATGTATTTTGTAAAGAGTTATACCAATTAAATAAATTTTTCAATTGTTGATATAATTTATCTGTTCAATTCATTTAACAATTAAAATTTAATAATCAAGTAGTGTTAGTATTAATTTTAATAATATTATTACTTTTTGTACACAATAATTTGATATATTATATAACATAAATTGTAAAACTTTAAATTAGGCATAAGTCAGGAAATCACGGGTTGTTTCTTACAATCAATTCGTGACTTTTATCAGTTTTTGTAATTTCTTAGCTTTGAATCCAATTCTTAAGAATATCGATACAATAAATTGGTCGATAAAATAGTAAAAGAGATGTCATCTTTTACCAAATTTAGAAACTTGTTTAATGATAAAAAGTTTTCAATTCAAATACATTTCTTTGAATTATTTTCATATTTGAGCAAATTTGTTAAAATTAATATTTATATTAAACCACACTTAATCAATATTATGAATATAAATTGTTATAAACATAAATAATTAAGAAGAGATCATATTATGCCTTTTTCATTTAATATTGTTACATTGAACATTTTATAGCTTAAATTTTTAGGAAATTATTTTATTTCAATTCAGGATTTTGTATTTTATAACAAAATAATTGAATATAAAAGAATAAAAATTTATAATACTGTAATAATTCTATATAAAATATTTTTCAGATCATTAAATCTAAAAATAACACATGCTTTGTATAGTAAAATCTAAACTTTAATTTTAATCTAATCTAAACTTTAATTTCAAACTCTTTTACATTGCTTGATTTTATTATTAATTTAAATTTTTATTATTAATATTTTTATTTAAAGAACTATTAACTTTGTTTTGTAAATATTTCAATTAAAATACATTAAATAATTTACTAACTAAACATAATTTTGTATTAAATATTAGTAAATTGTTAAATAAAATTAATATTAATAAAATTAAACTTTAATAATTAATACTTAAGAATTGAGCAATCACTATAAACCTTTATTAAAATTTCAACATGTAAAATAGGATTTTCATTCAAACTTAACTACTTAAATAAAATTGTCAGTACTTATCATTTTGACAAAATCTATTTTAAAATGTTTCAAAGAATCATATTTCAAATCGGATTATTATTTGATTTTTACAGATCTTTTAATGCCTTTAATTTGGATAATAGATTAAAGTCTTGAGTGACTCGATATTAAAGAATTGTAAATGTTATATAATATTTTTATTATTACTTCTACATTTGATTTTATATAATTTCTAAGAAAAAAGTTTGTTAAATATGAAATAATTTTAAATATAAATCACAAATAAAATTTTAGAAACATAAAAAGATAAAATAATTTATTTGTTATTAACCAACCAATACAATTTGTTTACAATAGTTGTAAATATACTCATTATTTATACATTTGCTATTAATTATACAATAATTAGAGGAAAGTGAACAAAGACTGAATTATTGGCAGATTCATAGCAGAGACGTCTGACATAGAGAACCGGTATTATCGATAAATTCATGGCTACTATACATTGTTATTGATTCACTTGAAAAGGAAGGAAATCTACAAACGTTTATGTCATGTGTTTTCAACATTTTATGCAAACGGTTGAAGACTAAACTTTGAAAATCTTACGATTTGTTTGTAAATTACCAAAAATTATTTTAAATAAATGTACGCGTATTTGTAAACTATATTTTAATTTGTAGACTTGAATTCAGTTATAAACTCTGTTTTTGCATTTATTAGCCATCATTTTGTTTAAGAAATGTGTTTTGTATAATACTTGGTAACTATTTCCAGCGATTTATGTATAAAAATGTGATTTTATTGAATTCCTGTGACAAACATTTAGTTTGCATTAAATACAAAACAAATCAATTATTTCTTAGAAAATTATTTTGAGTTTTATATTTCATGTTTAAATAATTGATTTGAACAAATCAAAAATTGATATAAAATGAAGTCAAATAAGTGTGTGAAAAATATTGATTATAATTGTTATTATGAAGAGACCTGTAAACTCAATTGAGTTATGTTATAGACTTTGTTATTTGAAGTGCTTTTAATGAAATAAAAGTTTAAAATACACTTTTATTATTCAATTTAGTTTTTAAAAGCATTTGATTTTTGAATTTTATGAAAACTAAATTGAACTATATTTTAATGCTGTATTGAATATTGAACATGAATATGGATTCATTTTCGAAAATTATATTTTAATCAAATTATTAAATATGAAATTCATTTCTCAGGTAAATGTTGAACACTTTTATTTCGAGGTCATTTTTTGTCTATTTTCATCGATTTATTTCTTGAGTATTATTTAATAACATTTTGTAAAATGAATAATATACCCGTAATACAAGTATTATTTTTTGACTAAATTATTTGATTTCACGTGATTTCATGATAAAAAATAGTTTGTTTTATACAATGGAAATGTACTGAATATTTTAGATGCTTTTTCAATAACTTATTTTTAAAATCAGATAAATGGGTTGAAAGTATAGAACTTGTAAGAAGATTATTCAAATAAATCCTATTTTATTAAAAATTTATTAAAAATTATTAAAACAACTATTTCACGTAAAGGTAATTGTGAATTATTTAAGAATGTAGATTATTAAATTACTTGTTTTAAGTATAATTAAAGCAAATTTATTTTTACAATTAAAGTACAATTGAAAAAATATAAACATAAGTCTAATATATTATATTTTTAAACTGTAATCATAATTTTAGTTTAATAAAAAGTTAATCTTAAAATTTTATTTTATATAATGTATTAGCGTAATACTGTATTTAATCTTTATAAAATCTTTTATAAAATTACAATATATTAATTTGTTAGGTAATACTATTGTAATTTGTATGTTCATTAAAATTCTGTATAATATTAAATTACTTTCAATTCATTAACCCTTTAAGCGATTTAATTGATATCATTATTGATATATAAGTGTAATGTTGTAAATATAGTAATCGCCTTTAATTGGTTGTGTTTATGTTTCAA